TATGTAATATTACACCATAATAAATTGATGGACTATTACCTAATACATTTCTTATTTAAAGGCACTATCATAAATAAATAATAACAGAGAAAGTCAATGAATTTGTACTAGGGTTTATGTGGTGTTTCAGACATGATACTTTCAATTTCATTCTTTGTCAGTTTAACAAAATAAAAAATGGGTTAAAAAATACATTAAAAAAACATAATAAATCGGGAATAAGACTATAATTAAAAATAGAAAAAAAGAAAAATTAAACATAAAAAGAATGACAGAACTAAGCGAAGAAGGAAATAGTCATGAATGAAAGTATAAGTGTCTCTACTGCCCCTGTTACACCACAAAATGAATTAGAAAAAACATATGATGGGTCTATTCAATTAATTATTGGTCCTATGTTTAGTGGTAAAACTACTGAATTAATAAGACTTATTAAAAGGTTTAGATATTCCAAAAAAACTACTGTTGTTATTAAATACTCTAAGGACACAAGGTATGGATCAGAAGATGAAGCTATTTCTCATGACAAAGAATCATGGAAAGCTATTCCAACCATGAAATTAATGCCATTACTTGAAACTGCTCTTAATTATGAAGTTATTGGTATTGATGAAGGTCAGTTCTTCCCAGACTTAATAGAGTTTTCAGAGGCATGTGCAAGTTATGGAAGATCGGTAATCATAGCAGCATTAGACGGTACATTCCAAAGAAAACCATTTGGACAAATTACTAGTCTTATTCCATTATGTGAAAGCGTAAAAAAGTTAAGTGCTGTTTGTGTTAATTGTGGTAAAAAAGCAGCTTTTTCATTAAGAATTAGTTCAGAAGAATCAATTGAAGTTATTGGAGGAGTGGATAAATATTGTGCTGTTTGCAGAAAATGTTTCTACAAAGATGGTGCTACATTAAAAACTCAAAGAAGTGTTGAATTTGCTTCTCACATAAGTGAACTATAATAGTCAAGAAAAAAAAGAATAATTCTCATTTTTAATAAAAGTGAAATTAATATAATTTTCTATCATATTTAGTTAATTGATTTTTTTAAAACATTTTGTTTTTTATACGTATTATTCAAACGTAAATGAAAAAAATTAATTAATTTCATTTTTATTTAATTTTTCTCCTTTTGGTTTTGTTATAGAAAAAGTATTTGAAATTGACTTTTATTTTGATACTCTTATTTTATAAAGAACAAATAATATAATAAATATTGAAGAAGAACTTAACAAAGAAAGACTTGTTATAAGTCCTAATTTTCTGTGATAAAAAATGTTAAATAACCTATAATAATAAACCATATTACACTCAACTCCAATCTTCCATTATCTTATTAATAATTCTAATTGAATAAATAATTTCAAAGTCTGATATTAAAATTGTGGATAATCCACATATAATAAGTGATATTGCAACTAATAAAAAACAATTAATGTTGGGTTTATTTTTTAATTCATCCATTTTAAATGATTTTGCTGTATTAAAAACAAAATGTAATAGTTCAGTTAAATGAATCACTATAACATTATCAATACCTTATTAAATTTTATCATGTAATAACTAAAATCAAACAAATACTATCAACTAACAACCAGACCATAAACAAATTTCTTATTCTAATCCATATATCTTTTTTTTAATTTCTATTATACTGTGTGTCTAGTTTAACATTGTCTGTTATTTCTTTTTGCCTCTTGTTTAAGTATCTATTTGACTCTTTGACTAACTGTTAATTTAATTATACTTTAATATTGTTATTTATAACATTTTTGAGGTATATTATAGTAATAAATTATTATTGTTATATAAAATTAAATGAATTTTTGTTATTATCTAAAGAACTGAAACTGAGTTTAATTATTACTAAGAAGATGGAAGGTGAAGTTTTAAATAATAAAAATTTAGACACTACGAAGAAAGAAAATGTGGTAAATTATTTTTTCTTTGAAAATGGGATTGCTCTTTCAACTGAACCAAAAGAATATTGGGCACCATTTGTTGATGGAATAAAAAAAGAATTAAAAACAAATTATATTATTGTTTGTTTAAGATTAAAAAGGTAATAAGGTAATAACGCAAATAGAAATATTGTAGTTGCAATTCATTAAAATCAAAAACAAGTGATGGTATAGAAGTTGGAGCATTAAGACTAGCAAACGAAATTTGTAACGACCTTAAAGATACTAAAAGTAAAAGAGGAGATGAAAAATATAAAATTCATTTTATTGGACATTCACTTGGTGGACTATATTTCAGGTTAGCAATTCCTATATTATTTAATCGTAATATATTTAATAATCCAAATTATATCCCATTTAGTTTTATTACCTTAGAATCACCTCATGCTGGTGTTAAGAAATCACAAACAGGAATTAAATCTTTCTTTGGAAACGTTTTTGAAGGAGAAACACTTAATGAGTTAGAACTAAATGATCGTCCTTTTCCACCATATGACCCATCATGTTTAGATGAATATCCTTTATTGTTAAGAATGGTTGAAGATGATGTTATTGCTCCATTAAAAAAATTTAAACACCTTACTTTAGTCCAAAACATTAGAGCATCACCACAAGTCCCTTATGTATCTTCTGCACTTGACCGAGCCATTCCTTATGACAGAGACTTTTTACAAGATCAATTCCTTTTGGATGGATTTAATTTCTTAAGGGGATACAATGATATTGTTGATGGTTGTACTAAACAATATCAATTACAAAATGATCATGGAGATATTTTTGAAGAAAGAGTAGATGGTTGTATTATTCATGACCGTATAATTAAACAACTTAATACATTAAATTGGAGGCGATTAAATGTTCATTTTAGAACAAAATCAAATGACGCTCATATATTCATTATGGGGCAAATGAATAGAAAAAAGTTATTTAAAAATTGGGGAAATGAAGATGTTGAACGATACTTGGATGTAATAGCAAAGATTATCAAAAGAGATATTGACATTGAAAATAACACTTTAGAAACAAATCCTTCTCTTACTGAAGAAGTTAATAATCCAATAAAATCAGATGATCAACCATTTAAAGAAGAGAAATTGATTGATATTCCTCAATCAACTCAAATTGTTCAACAAACTGATAAAGATCAAACTCAATTACTTTAACTAAAAATTTATTTCTTTTTATAAGTTTATTAAATTAATTTAAAACCTACTTTTCTAATGCAAAAATGTCATAAATTAGCAACATCCCCCTTCTTTTTGGGTTTGTTGACCTTGTTTGGAAATATCAACATTATTAGCATCAGGTTTTGGATTGACAAGATCAGAGAATTGTTTAAATATCAATCGTGTAATTTTTGCCATTGCCTCTTCAACTGCAAGTCCACTTTTGGCTGATGTTAAAATACCATCTGAATACTTTTGTTCTGCTACTTTAGCCATTAAGTCTTCTTGTGCCTTTTTTAATTCTTCTTCACTTAAACAATCAGCTTTATTTCCAACTAATAATGCAGGAATTGATTGTTCATTAAATTTGACTTTATTCTCAAGATCTTCCTTCCATCTATCAGTAGCTGCAAATGTATCTGGATTAGTGAGGTCATACATAATAATAGCACCATGTGCTCCATTATACTATTTTGGTTATTCTATTTTCTTAATTTTTGGTTAAAAATATGTAAACAAACATAAACACGAGTCATAGCAATATACTTTTCCTGACCTGCAATATCCCATAATCTAAGTTCAACATCACGTTCATCAACTGTTGTAAATTTAACAGCAAAATCAACACCAATAGTTGCACGGTACAATTGGTCAAATACACCATGACAATACTTTCTAATGGTTGATGTTTTACCTACACTTGGCTCTCCAATAACAATGATTTTTAATTGTAATGCTTCCTTTGACTCTTCCTAGTTATATTAATATATTTTCAAAATAAAGACAAATAAACGTATCACATCTCACAAACCATTATTTGTATGATTTAGTTCCATTTGTTTGTTCAGTTGTTCTCAACTTTTCTCATGGATTATAGAATTTTCTTTTTTATTCCATCCTGAATGAGCTAACTTTGTAACCTGCAATTTTTTCTTTATTTCTAATAATAATAATATTTATATTATATTTTATAGCTTTTT